CATTGTTGTAGTAGTATGCATAATAGCTGCTACTAATCTGCAGTTATAGGTAATGAGGCTATAATTAGAGTAATACTGTGAACCAGGCATGGCATGCAGTGCTTTCTGTGCATTTTCTTATCTAACAAGTGAGTATTTATTACAGGCTTAATTGACTTAAGTCATCGACTCCGTGCTCACCAGCTGTGGGTCTCAGGGAAGTCACTTCCGCTCAGACACAGTTTCCTCTCCAGCAATACTGGGAGCTGGATGTCTGCTTTTCCAGGTTCTTTCCAGTTCCAAGCCTCGGTTCGATTCAATTCCAGTCCTCTCGTTTCTAGGGAATCCGTAATGTGTACTCTGCACAGATTTATTGCTTAGGAAATATAAACCAATTATGGCACAGTCCCTGTCCTCAAAGTTGTCACCATCCTTTGTAAATAACAGGAAGCCAGGGGTGCCTGAGGGGGAGAGAACAAGGGACCAGTTACATCACTAGGAGAAAGCAGGGAGGTCTCTGGGAGTCGATTCTAATTAGAAGCTTCCTGAAGGAGGAGAGATTTCCGTCCAGTTGAAAGGAGGCAGTCGACCGAGTGGGAGTGCAGAGGCACCTCTTGGCAGAGCTGGTGGGCACAGCTCTTCAGCGGAGAGCCAGACCGGCTGTGTTTAAGGCCAGCCGGCCAGACATTTTGCTGTGAGCTAAATTTAAAGGGTGACTATACTGATGTGGCTGCTACACACAACCAGAGAACCTCGACTGCATCCGAAGAGGATGTGGCGCTCCTGGGGGTGAAACTTTTGGATATTTGAGATGCATCCTCAGATTAAAACCATTTCTTTGGGCATCTGCACAGGCTCAGCCCTAGGGGAACATCTGTCCCAGAATGACACATCTGGGTTCCTGACACAATGCATCACATTGACAACTGGCTAATACTAGTGTTTCATAGTAATACATATTTATTTATGACTCCCCTCATTTCGAAATGGAACTGGAGGGGTTTGCAAATATATTCACAGGGACAAGATAAAAATACAAGAGTTAAACATGAGGAGATAAAAGTAGAAATAATAGGGTGAGGCAAAGGAGAGGTGCGAATGCCCAAAGGCTCTGAATACTTTTACCAGAGGTGGGCTGCACAGCTGGGGCTAGGCATCTGAGCAACTAATGCATTTTGTCCTAAAGAAAAGTGCTGGGTTTTTTCATTTTCTTATAATAAACATTTTATTTTAGAACTATTTTTGATTTACAGGATTACTCTGCAGAGGTAGTATAGAGAATTCCTGAATACCCTATGCCCAGTTCCCCTATTAGTAACATCTTTATATTAGTATGGCACATATAACACTATTAATGGACAACATCGAAACAATATTAAGTAAAGTTCATAGTTTATTCAGCTTCCTCTTATTACCTAATGTCCCTTTTCTTTTAAAATTGTTTTTAAATTTTTCAATTGCAGTTGACACACAATATTATAGTAGTTTCAGCTGTACAATATAGTGACTAGGCATTTATATCACTTACGAAATGATTCCCCCAATAAGTCTAGTACTCATCTGAAACCATGCATATTATATTATTATATTATTGACTATATTTCCTAAGCTGTACTTCACATCCCTGTGACTATTTTTGTAACTGGTAATTACTTCTTAGCCTATTTGTGACTATATTTCCTAAGCTGTACTTCTCATCCCTGTGACCATTTTTGTAACTGGTAATTACTTCTTAGCCTATTTGTTTATTTATTTTATTTTTCAGATTTCCCATGTAAGTGAAATCATATGTTATGTGTCTTTCTCTGTCTTATTTATTTCACTTAGTATAATACCCTCTAGACCAGGGGTCCTCAAACTACCGCCCGAGGGCCACATGCAAATACAAATATTGTATTTCCCGTTTTGTTTTTTTACTTCAAAATAAGATATGTGCAGTGTGCATAGGAATTTGTTCATAGTT